CTCACCTGAGCCCATGTAATTTGCAGTAATCTTTCTTGGCATCAATTTTCTATTTTTAGGCAAATTTTTTTAAACTATCCCTACTCTTTATCTAATTGACAAATTATACTTTTACTGTTTAATTATTATCTTAAACTATCTATACTATTTTTAATAATTGATTACCTTTACCTATGTTGTTAGCGTCTGTTAATACTCCATGAAAATTCGTACACATGTAATACTACGTCATATTTAAATTTTTTTAAATCCAATATTACCTTCATCCCCCTTTCCCCCCTTTCCTCTTGACGCAGCCACAGAACACCCACACCCCCTCTCTCTCTCAACTCAGCAACTCGGTTGAGTGATTCTTTGGGGCAGGTGGACATATCAACCTGGTTGTAACCTTTGTACAGATCAGTCCTCCTACCACTGGTGATCACAGAACCTGTAAGTGAAATCACCACCGAGACTCCCTGTTTCCTTCAAGCCAGCTGGTCTGCTGTGCTGCGACGAACTTGGATCAGGTTTCCCGGTTTGGGTGTACGTAGGAGAGTACTTCGGCTTTGAACAACAAAGAAGAAGAGAAGATCATGCGAACCAGTTCCACCGTGGGTGGTGCCAATCACCCGGAGGACAAGATGATTGTGAGCTATTGGGGCATGCCTCTGGCTAATCTCACGAAGCAGGACACCTTAGTTCAATTTTTGGTGCAGAATCGGTATGGTGATCTGGCAAAATGCTGGAGACGGTTTCGGTCGTTTCGGGAATGGTCGGAGGGATGCTCTTGCACTTCTTCAATGCCTACTTAATTTCTGGGTTACTTGATCTCTCCCAGATTTGCTCACCGTGTGGTGGGGTACCTGGACATGGGGATCGAAGGAATTAACCTTCGTCCGTCAGAGCTTCCAATTGCTTGACCCATCTTGAGAGGCGGTACCCATTTTCTATTTTCGCCAAAATTTCTGTTTAATGTAGTTATTCAAGGACCCTTTTTCTGAAATATTAGTTTTCTCTGTCTCCCCTATTTCCGAATGATGGAAAAGAAGACCATTAAAGAGAGAAAGAAAATGATGACATAGAAGCTGATCCTTAGGGGTGAGCATTCGGTTTATTAGGTTAAAAATTGAAATTTTAAAAACCGAAATAAAAAAATAAAAATCAAACCGAAACTGAATTACAAGAAAATCAAAATAATTGAAACCGAAGTTTTTGGTTTTTCGATTATTTCGGTTAAAAACTGAATTTAATTAATATATTAAATATTATATATTATAGCCTATAATATATATATTATGAAATTGAATTTCATTATAATATATTAATATATAAATATATAGCATATTATATATTAAATATTGCTCATCCCTACTCATCCCAACTAAAAGAAAAAAAGAAAACAGGGGAGCTTCAATAAATGCGGCCCTCCTCTTACTCCTCCCCTCCCTCTTCCTACAATTCAATTCCCACCTTGGCTTTGCTTCTCATTATTTCAGAAAAAGAAAAAAAAAAGAACAGTTAAACCCAATCTGAGCAGAGTCAATCTTTTAACATGTATATAGAAAATTGACATTTTTGTTATACCAATTTGAGCATAGTTAATCTAAATACAAAAATGCTGATGGTGGTAATGAACAGAGGCGGAGATGGAGTGGAGCAAGGAAGGAGAAAAGGGGGAGGGGATGACGTCAGTGAACTATGGAGTGGATATGGAAATTGTTGCCTTTGTGTTGAGAGGAAGACGTGAATGATCTATGGTTGTATTTTTTTTTTTTTTTGAAATTATTAATGCAAATCAGATCAGATTAGCTTGAATTGGAGAGGCCATGGAGTGGATTTGGGGACCTCAACCCCAATCTGTGCTGTTGAGGGAATCAATCAAATCTTTCTTCAAGTTAAAAATTTCATTGTCGTTGGGATGCACAAGAGGTTTTTTCATCTCCGAAACATTGTCGTCAAAGCTGCCATCTACTTTTTTTTCTTGAATTTTTTGATCTGTTGGGTTTTATTTTTGAAAATTTGATAAATAATGAAAGACAAATTTGACATTTTGTTTATTTCCATTAGCGGCACTAAATGGCAATGCCAATTTTTAGAAACAGTAATAGGAATACTTTAAGACAATATGTAAATAATAAGGGTAGAGTTGGTTAATTAGATAAACCATAAGGGTAGTTTAAAAAATTTGCCCCTTTTTTATGTAACTTCTAGTTCGCATTAAACCCTCCATTAGATTATCTCTTTCAATTCCCAACATGTTTAGGTTTTCCTTTTTCATTGTTTTTTATTTTTCATTATTTTGATGAAGATAATAAAATAATAGATAATTCCGAGCAAAAACGTTTGGATGAAAGGTGCATTAACTGGGACAGGTGTCACACGACTATTAGATACTCACTCATTGTGCTTACTTAACGTACCTACTACATCTGGACCCCAAAGTAACCATCCCATGATCCATAAAGTAAAGAAAAGGTGACATAAAAGTTATAAAAAAGACAAAAAGAGAAGAATTGGAACCAAAATTCAAATTAACCCTTCACATATCAGTATGTGCTCAATCATATTAAATTCTATCTTGTGTTTCTCTTTTGGATTGTCTTTTTATCAAGATTCAAATTGTTTATACAAACAAAATGCAAAAATTGTGTTTCGCATGGTTTAAAACTGCGATATTATAATTTTGCTTTTTTTTTATGACATTTCAGGATTAGGTAAGAGACTAAGACATAGAAGGTGAGCTAGAGAACCCTCCCACCTACCCACACACCCATATTTAAGTGGTGTATCAGTGGCGAATTGGTTTCTCCTGCCAACAAAATATGTTGGTAAGGTGTTAAAATGTATTTTATTGGCAGGTGATTCAGACTCATGAAATGCCTAGTGTCAGATGTTGTTAGTAGGGTAAGTGTTGAAACACATTTTATTGGCAGGTGATTTGGATTCATCGGTGGGTTCAAAATATTTGATATAAATATGGAAGGAATATGCATCGATACATTACAATATTTTGAACGTTATTTTTGATTGGATGCATAAAATATCCATGGTGGGGATGAAAATAATGGTAGGTTCGACTTTGGACTCATGTTTTTCTCTTTTCAATCTTTTTACAGCAGGAAACTCTCATGATTGATGATACCGTTATTTTATTTGGCCTTTTTAAAAATGAATTTCTTTTAGGCCGTGTTTGTTTATCCAAACATTTTTCCTACTGAAATATTATAGGCATTATTTCTGTCTTTTTAAAGCAAAAACAAAATAAAGTTTTCCATTCCACCCCATTCTTATTTGTTTTCACATGAATATGGAAAGGAAAATATAGTTTTCTTTGTAAACGGGGCAAAAGCACAGTTCATACTTCATATATTTCAGCCTACTTTTTCTCACTCATATTACATTGAGAAATATATAGAGCTTTGGGCTCTAATTATTTCAAACTGAACAAATGAAAAATTTTCAGAGTGAAATGCTTGAACTTTAATTTCATCATTTTTATAATAAAAAATGTTGTTTTCTTTGCCACTTACATTCAAACATACTAACCAATTTTTTTTTAGTTTTAACTATAAAGGATTAGAAATAACAACTGGACTATTTAATTAGAAATTTTTTATGTCCACTTTGAGGGAAAAGCAAATACAGCGTTCAAAAATTAAAATATATATATATATATATATATATATATATATATATTAGTTTACTAAGCAATGGCCTTTTATGTCAACACTATCACCACCACAACAAAAAACAAACATGTAATTCCATTCGATTCCCATGTAACAAAATTATAATGTTTTTTTTTTTTTAAGCAATGAACCAAAGACAAACAAACCTTGTTTATTCAACTTGAATTGGATTGGAATCTTTTTTTTGTCTCGAAAGACCATAGTCAAATCCCCATAAAGATTCGCATCCAACCGTGAAAAGTCACCCATAACACGGACTTGTCCATTTGGTCCATGACATCCTGGCTCCTGGGTAGCATATGTGGGCCAAAGAGACCCACATTTGTCAATCCGTCGTAGGGTAGGGTGGCATTTTCATAGAAAATCAAGCCACAAGGTGGGACTCGGGAGGCTATTTATTGTCCTATCCGTTAGGAATCGGATTTGCTATTGTCTTTAATATGATTTCCTTGAATTTCTACGACAAGTTTGGATTTGGGAACCCCTCGTTAAGGCAACAAATTGAGGCTGTGTTTTCAAGAGATACGTGATACAACAGAGCCAGCGGAAGTCAATATCTATGTGCTGGAACCATTAAATTAGCATCTTTTCTCATCTAATCTCAAGAGTTAGTATTTATCTCCTTGGCCAAGGCTCTGACTTTTCCTCCATCGAGAATGTAGATTCCAATCCAGTGATGGTGGGGAAATCTCGAGCCCGTTCTATCACGACCAATGGGAACGCTGGGGGGTGTAAAAATCATTTCTGCTACGGAAACACATTATTAAAATAAAATCGCGTCGATATCCTTTTTATCTGGAATCTAGATAAAGTGGATTTATAGAAATCACGTGTGAAAGTGTATCAACATTGATGTAATAAAAAAGGAAGGTGTTTTTGAAGCCACCGTTCCGGCTTTCCGCTCACAATTAATTTTTATGAATCGGGTCCTGCGTCAGCTCCATCACATAAAGATTATCCAAAAACTGGAGCGGTGAGAGCTAAATTAGGCAAATATCACAATATCAAGGTGAGTCAGCATGACACGTGTACGGTGCATCTGGATATGACCAATTAACAGCTCGACCTGATTTCGCCGTTTGGATATCGGAATGAAATGAAAATGGATGATGAATGGTGTTAGTTGACCAGGGTGGTCGTTGTATCCCAACAAAAATGAACAGTAAGGGGTATTCTCGTAATTAGATTCAACTACAGTTAGTGATAGAGTACATCCAAAGATAATTATGGGACAGCATTGCTATGCAAATGTTTTTTCTTACGAATTTGCCCCCACAACGTTCTATAAATTGAGCCTTCTTATTCAGCTTTAAACCTCCTATGCTGTAGTCTTCTTCTTCTTCTTCTTCTTCTTCGCTTCCCGATCAAATATTTATCCCGGTTTTTCCTTCTTTTATTCCTCTTGATCTGAGAGACGAAGGAAAGAGAAAGAACATGGCGGGTGGTGGATTTGTTGCGGCCAGTGAGCCGGGTAAGACTTACCCGGGAAAGCTTACCATGTATGTGGTTATGGCTTGTATTATTGCTGCCTCCGGTGGTTTGATCTTCGGTTATGACATCGGTATTTCCGGTAAGAAGTCTTGACGTCTGAATTGTTTTATTTGTTAAACAACGAAAGGAAAAAAAAAATAGAAACAAAATACAAGTGATGCTGATTCTGATTTGTTAAGAGAATTGCTTGGATATTTGTAGGTGGAGTGACATCTATGGATTCGTTTCTGAGCAAGTTTTTCCCTTCGGTGTATCGGAAGGAGAAGGCAGACCAGTCGAAGAATCAGTACTGTAAATTCGACAGCCAGACGCTGACTATGTTTACTTCGTCGCTCTACCTCGCGGCTCTTGTGGCATCCCTCTTTGCTTCCACGATGACAAGAAAATTCGGAAGGAAACTGTCCATGTTTTTGGGAGGTCTGGTGTTTCTGGCAGGAGCCGCTATCAATGCAGCCGCGGTTAACGTGGCCATGCTTATTGTTGGCCGTCTTTTACTTGGTATCGGTGTTGGTTTCGCCAATCAGGTAGCGCCTCTGCCTCTGAACCTCTCTGGCTATATGCTTTCTTTTTGTTTCTGATCGGCTGATCCCGATTCCCTAACTCTTTTTATTCCCTATTACTGTTGCTTTGTCTTTTTGACAACTTGTCGATTTCTCTCCTCTGTTTGTTTGTTTAATTCCTTTTTTCGACCCCAGATATTTACTCGTCCATTTGGATCTGCCCTTCAATGTATAAATCATGGGAAATTTATTAACAAAAGTTAAAAGCAGAGAACGGAGATCTTTTTTTTTTTTGGTCGAGATTCGAGAGCCACTCTGGTAGTCTGGTCTCTTCCTATCTCGTTTCTCTGTTCTAGTTCCTCTGTTTATACTTCATATATTACACACTGGAGAGCATTTAAAGTAAACAAAAAACACTGCTTCAATTCATTTTATTTGAATTTAGTCAACAATCAGCATTGACGTATTTATTTTTATACTTTCTGCTTATTTAATCTCCTATATTATTAGTAATGAATATTATATATATTGTTGAACCATTCTGTTCATTTTTTATCATTTTATTTTGCAGATTAGAGTAATTAAATCTAAATGTTTGATTTCGCCGTAAACAGGTGATGCTATCCTTTGTTTAAGATAGTCAACAGAAAAATAAATAAATAAAGCTGCTGTTTTCCACTTGTTACGTATATGTGTACGCCTTTTTCCACGAAGTAGTTTACTCAAAGATTTGAAGAAAACGCCGTTCGATTGAATGAGCTATTCAAACCAGAAAAAGAAAAGAAAAAGAAAAAAGAAAGAAATATCAAAACAAGAATAATCTCATTATAATCATCTTTTGTGGGTATTATAATTCTGAGTACAGTGCAATTGGATCGAAAGTCCAAAGCATAAATCACTATCATAAACCCACATGCATGTATTCCCACACAAAGAACACGGACCTGTCACACCATGTAATTTCCCCAATAATAAAATACTGCTTGCGATTCACACACTTTCTCCTAGTAAAATAATGCAACCGTATAACTATTTTTTTTTTGTGGCTTTCAATTAAATAAAATAAAGCAAAAACTAGGAAATTTCGTTCCTTTTCTTTTTTTCATTTTGGAAATGTGCCTACCAAGTGTTTCCTGTAAAATGGTCGGAAAGTGATGTTTTCGCTGCAGCAGGGACGAAACTTAGAATTGAAAAAAATCAGGGGAAAAAAACTGCGGATGGATGAATCAGCACAATTTATTTTCTTTAGTTTATACTTTACACTATAATCCTTCTCAATGCACGTATTGATTTTCTGATGTTAATTAATTAATTCGTTGAAATAGTTTGATGTATAAGAGATGATTGACGAATTAATGTTAATTGTTGGTTGATTGAATCTACAGTCGGTGCCACTGTATCTGTCTGAAATGGCTCCATACAATTACCGTGGTGCTCTCAACATCGGCTTCCAACTCATGATCACGCTGGGCATCCTCTTCGCCAACCTCATCAACTACGGCACAGCCAAGATCAAGGGTGGCTGGGGTTGGCGCATAAGCTTGGGCGGTGCAGCCGTACCTGCATTCATCATTGCCGTTGGGTCATTCTTCCTACCCGACACACCCAACTCCATCATAGAGCGGAACATGCCGGAGAAAGCAAGGAACATGCTCCGGCGCATCCGTGGCACAGAAGACGTCACCGAGGAGTTCAACGACCTGGTGGCCGCTAGCGAAGCGTCGAAATTGGTAGAGCACCCCTGGAGAAAAATATTGCAGAGAAAGTACAGGCCACACCTGGTGATGGCCATCGCCATTCCCTTCTTCCAGCAACTCACTGGAATCAACGTCATCATGTTCTACGCCCCCGTCCTTTTCAAGACCATCGGGTTTAAATCCGACGCTTCTCTTATGTCCGCTGTCATCACCGGTTTGGTTAATGTGGTTGCCACGTTCGTTTCCATTTTGACCTCCGACAAATGGGGTCGACGAAAATTGTTCTTGGAGGGTGGAGCCCAAATGCTTGTCTGTCAGGTATATTTATTTATTTCAAAAATTGCCTTCATGCAATAATGGCAATGGATGTATTGACCGTTTGCGTTGGGTTGGTGGGGCAGATCGCGGTGGCAATTCTGATCGCCCTGAAATTCGGGACGGACGGCCAGGCGGACGGTATTTCCAAGGGATACGCTGGAGTGGTGGTGTTCTTCATCTGTGTGTACGTGGCGGGTTTTGCGTGGTCATGGGGGCCATTGGGATGGCTGGTGCCCAGTGAGATATTCCCACTTGAGATACGGTCAGCGGCCCAGAGTATCAACGTGGCGGTGAACATGTTGTTCACCTTCGTCATAGCTCAGGTGTTCCTGACGATGTTGTGCCACTTCAAGTTTGGACTCTTCTGTTTCTTCGCCGGTTGGGTGGTGGTAATGACCATCTTCGTATTATTCTTATTGCCGGAGACAAAGGGAGTGCCCATCGAAGAGATGATGCGCGTTTGGAAGCAACACTGGTTCTGGAGCAAGTACATCCCCGACGATGCGGTGATGGGGAGTTTGGAGATGGCAAATGGGGGCAACGTCAAGTCTGTCGATTGAATTTCAATTTTTATCGCGTCCCGCTGTTAATACTTAATACGAAAAAAAAATGAAAAAAAAAAAACTCGTAAAATCTGGGTGGCTAAATAGACGGAGGAAAAAAAAGGAACATTGTTTGATTCGTGATTCCTTTGTCGTTTGATTAATTTGATCTTTAGAAGGGTCGGTAATGCCTGGGGGATATTGTACTAAAGATCTTTTCTTTTCTTTTTTTTTCCTTTTCAAGGGATGTGAATAACTGGTAGGTTTATTTATTTAACGGGACAAATAATATAAATGTAGTGTTTCTATAGATGGGTGGTGATGTTTGATAATTTTATAAATGGTCTTTTGTGGAAAGGTTGGCCCCTATTCATGATGAAACCGAAATTGCCTTCCTGTTTCCATTTGGTCGGTGTTATTTCTTTCTGTAAAATCGCTGATATCATTGCTATTCAGTTGAAGTTAAAAAAAAAAAAATTGCTATTCAATGAATTCCATGATGAACACACCACCAAGTTCTCTAAACAACGTGGAATGCAGAACTACTAAGCGGGTGAAATTAAACTTTGTTTAGTGATGCAATTAATTGGACTAAAACCCAGTGCCAAATTAATTTAATACGATTGATTGTTTCTTTAAAGAGTTGGTCCTGTCAGGTTTGGATTGAGCCATTTGAACATCTGATTTCAATTTCACAACGAAAAATAAAGTCAAAGCTTTTTACGCGAGAAAAAGGTGGGCCTGGGCCAATAAAAAAACGGGCTTCAATACTGTCTTCTGTCTTGGATCTGGCATTCGGAGGTATTCATATATATGTATCAAAATTTCAGTAGAGAATGCGGAGTGCACCAATAACTGGGTCCCACGTTAAAGAGAATCCATAATGTCATATCAGGACCCAAGATTAGTTGCTGTCAAAACCAGATATATTTCACCCCTATTCACCATAATCTGGGCCACCTATCTTTTTGATTCTCCGCACAAAATGTGATCCGTGACCTTCCAGAAAATTGTGAGATCAGAAGTTAGTTGGAGTTGGGTCCCTGTCCCTGCGTCGCTTAGCGCTTGCTACGTCAGCCACACCCAACAGTTGTAGAATTGGTGATACAGAAATCCCCACCCAAGCCCAACTCATCGCAGCAATAGTCGAAATGGCACGAGAACTATAGTTCATTTCATTGGCTAATTGGCTAATTGGCTAATTGCTATACCACGATACCAAAACCAAGTCGTCTGCGATGTGTGGTGCCCCAATTCGGAGGAGTCGTTCCATTGGACAAACCAAGTATAATTTGATCAGTTTAGCTAGCCTCACGGCCCATCTATGAAATCTGCTACCAATCCTGTTCCAAAAGGTCACTTCTGCCTTACATTGGGAGCATCTCTCTTGCTATTCATGGGGGAGATCAGAGATGTTTCCCATTCCCGTGTAGATACGGTTGTAATGGCCGGTGGGGATGTTATTGGCACCGCGTGTCGGTAACTGATGCAAACTCCATCTATAGTGCTTCTCTTTCATTTGTCAACTCACTCTAGAGTCTAGAATCTAGAGGTGGTCCTACACCCAGTACTGTGACTCCTGCCAACGAACGTGTTCCAACCCGATCGGATCCCACACATCTCCCAGCATCATCGTGAGATATCACGCTGGTAGGGGGTCGGCAGGAGATCCCAATTCCCGTACTGTCACTGAAGGTGAAACAGTAGTAGTTAGTTTGGTAGCAAAGCCAAAGACGAGGAGCCACATAAATAAACGTAGCAGTTATTTACAGGTCATGTTCACCAAATCCAGTAATCCGTAGAAGGATATTAATGATATGTTGGTATTGAAATGTGATTCCTCACCTTTTTAGTTCTTCAACCGTCCAATTGTCTCTCTGTTTCTTCTTCTTCTTCTTCTTCTTCTTCTTCTTCTTCTTCCTCTCCTTTTAGACGTCGACTCTTCATAATCACAACTTTATTCTATGAGAATCCAGTTTCACATGGTCCGCCTAATCTTTTCATCTGTTTTTCTTCTATGTTTTAAACGAAACAAAGTCCCTTATCCAACAACAGCGGTGAGGATAAGCTCTACAACAAATCCAACAAGCAAATACTAACCAGAGAAAAAAAAAAAAAAAGTGGGCATGGGGAAGAATTTATAAGTGGATTGCTCACGCGTTTTGAATGAATAAAAAAGGGTGGATCGCGTGACCCACACTAATTTGAATTGGAGCCAAGAACTTCGTGGGGCCTAAAATCTACATCGGATGAGGTTTGGATAAACTGGGTCTCTCTTTCATCATCTTCCAAGTTTCATCAACTTCTTTTTGTGTTTGTGATTAAAAGGCAAAAGCTATAATTAGAAATAGGTAGTGTGACTCAGCTCAATGACCAACACTTCTTAGGTCGATTAATTAAAGCTCCGTCGGCCCAACATATATCATGTTCTTCAAAGTAGAAACACGTCCCTATCTACCTTCACTCAAAGCTCAAAGCTCAAAGCTCAAGGGATATAACGAAGATCAGAAACGAAAAGAGACGTATGTCCAAGTACTGATATAAGTTAATCATGAAGAAAATTAAAATCAAAGGCAACCAAGGTGTAATACTTGCAGAATTAATACAGATAAAGAAAATTAAAATAGAAAGGAAAAACCAAACAAGAAGGTTGGGCTAAAGTAAAGGCCCATCACGTTTTCATTCCTGGCCACGGCTGGCACGGCCAGGCTAGGGCTTAGCCGCTTAGGGCTTACTAAGTGGCAATTCAGATATGCTTACTTATTCATCGGCAAATGCAGAGTACATGGGCTAAAACAAGGTCATCATCAAGATCACCCTGCATTCACTTGGGTTTAGGACATGTGGTGCATCGTCATTCGTCATTGAGGATGCAGAAATAGATCTACGAGATAGCAAACCGGCAGATTGTACTCTATGACCTCACAATTCAAGCCATCGAGTCTAAGGACTAAGGCCCATTAAGTGGCTTATAACTGTTCTGTTCACTAAGGCTATGTTTGGTTTGAAGGAAAGGGTAGGGAAAGGAAAGGAAAGGAAAGGAAAGGAAATATGTACAAACCTTGTATAGGTTCTTCTGCCTTTCCCTACCTTTTCCTTCAAAACAAACACAGCCTAACAGATGCAGAAGATAGCATTTTTATAGTTGTAGGGGTGGATTCGAGTCGAGCCAAGTTGAATATCTAGCTATTCGAGTTTAGCTTGCTAATACACTATGAGGCTCAAGTTCGATTTGAACTAGAGACTTGAGTTCGAATTTAGCTCGAGCTTGATTGTGAGCCAAATGCTTTATAAAAATAAAAAATTATTTTTTATATATATGTATGTAAAGATTGATTAGTCTCACGAGCCGAGTTCAAATATTTTGTAAAAACCTTGGCTCATGGCCACCCCTATACAGCTATTTATCCCAATTATGTTATGGTTATCAAGCTGGCTTCCATTCTGCCTATTGATTTGGAAGGATTAATTCAGGGACTAGAAATTCGAATCAAATTAGCTGTTGATCAATCATTGTAATTGTTGGGATTTTTTTTTTAGCTTCTGGGGTAGTCTATTGGCAGCCGGCTTTGATCTCAGGTCTCTACCGAGTCAGAGATCTTGTCACTGCCATCAGTTGGCAAAATTGTATGGCATGTTGATCAACCAAGATCAGCAATAGGGTAGATTGCTGAATCCTCCCCTGAACATTCTGATATAATTGCAATTAGACCCCCTTTTTTAGAGCTTCTTAAAAGAGACATTAAAATGTTGAAAATACCATTCAATTGCTTTTGATTAAAATGTTTATTTTTGAAATTTTTTTTTATATGAATTGCTAGTTCAAATCCTTCCAATCTCTTTTCTGAATTTGATTTAGGTCATGTTTGGGAGTGCTTAAGTTAAAAATAAGTGCTTAAAAACAAGTTCTTATTTGAATAAGCACTTATTTGCATTTAGCACCCAACTTTTTCAAGTGCTTATTTTTCTCTAATAAGCATTTGTGACTATTTTGTCTTTCATTTTCTTTCAAACTTTCAAAATATACCCTTTGAAAGTACTTTTATTAAATTAGTTTGATAAAAACACTTTTATGAAAGCACTTTTATAAAAGTGTTTTTATGAAAGTACTTTTACAAAAGAATTTTTATAAAAGCACTTTTATAAAAAGTATTTTTACAAAAGTACTTTTATGAAAGCACTTTTAAGAAAGTAGTTTTTATAAAAAGTACTTTTGTAAAAGTTCTTTCATAAAGTACTTTTGTAAAAGTGTTTTAATAAAAGTACTTTTATAAATTTCAACTAGGGATAATTTTATAAGTGGTATTTTAAAATTGAACTAGGGATAATTTTGGAAGAAAAAAATTGAATAAGTGTTTATTGTATAAGCACTTAAAAAAAAGCTGGAAATTTGGGCTTAAAAAATAAAGCCTTATTTTTAAAACAATCACATCTTTCGGGCTTATTTTCCAAATACCAATAAGTGCTTAATGGCCTTATTTTTAAGCACTCCTAAACATGGCCTTATTTTCACTAGATATCAATCACTCAAAGTAAATCTGCAACTTTAAATTCTCTATTTTCTGTTGTTTATAAAGTTTGTATTGTATTTTTTTTTCCTTTTTTGCAGAAACCAGCCTCAATAGTAATTGCATGGATATTTTAGACATTTTTGTGTTCTTGTTAGAGAATTTTAACATAGGGGGTCTACTTGCAATTGCCAGAAAATTCAGGGAAGATAATTGCAATTAAAAAACTTTAGGAGAGGTTTCAGTAATTTACCATTTGCAATATTGTGAATTGGTACAGAATGCAATGAAATCAATCAATTTGGTATGCATTTGGTTCTGTGGGCGTTTATAGATATGGTGTTACTTTCTCAGGTAAATGTTTAATTGAAAAATGTTACTTTAATTGCTCATTATTTTTGTTGTTTGGTTGGGTGTTTCGAGTAACATCCCATAAAGTTATCTTCCAGCTCAGCTTACTATACTCTAGGTAAGCATTTCGTTTCAATAAACGATGGAGCATAGGGAGAAATTAGAATTTGAAGTTGGCACCCAATGTCAATTTTTAATGTTTATTTGATAAATATTAAAATCCAACAATGGTTTCGTACACAATAAATACTAACGCCTAAATGACATTAATGTGGGGGCGTTTTTCCGATAAACACCCACAGACCAAACATAGCTTTGGTTATCCATCGACTTTCTGAGAAAAATCAATATGAAAATGTGTACAATTGATGAAAAAGCTGCTTAATTAAGGGTTAGTGGATTTTGTGAACTTTTTTGTTCCTATCATCAAAAACTGAATGGGACAAAATACAACAAGCGTGTTGGATACATGTTTTTGCACTTTGTGAGTTTGTGTTGATTAGATGTGGTCGGATAGTCAACATACAGGGTCGAACAAATTAAGTCCGAATGATCAATG